ATCTCCCCAATGGTACAACACATTCAACTCAAATTTGACATATGGATATGTTTTTGGAATGCCCAGGTCAAGTTCAGATTTGGTCATGGTTAAATGATTTTTGGCAGAGTAAAGCCCCTTTCACTTTGAAAATAATATGAAATTTACAGTTTCTGTTCATTATCTACCTAACAGTGTTACATATTCAATTTTAATTTGACATATGGATATGTCAAAGGAATGGGCAGGTCAAGTTGGAATTTGGTCATGGTTTGATGATTTTTTGGCAGAGTTATGTCCCTTTCACTTTGAAAATAATATAGATACATCTTAGGAATAAGCAGTTTAAGTTTGAATATGGTCATGGTTCAATGATTTTAGACAAACTTATCTTTCCTGAATGTTGGAAAAATTTTGAACTTTCAGTTTCAGCACTCATTCTTTTAGCCATTATTTTGGCTACAAATATGCAATATGCTTTTTCTAAAGGTTAAGACTGAATAATTTCAGTGCCTTGAACGTTGTATGGAAATGGTTTGTGTTAACATTGAAAAGTTTTAAGGGCTTTGAACTTAAAATGAAAAAAAAAAATTAATGCACCATCTGAAATTTTGGCTGCATGCGGGGGCATCCGTGGCATGATGACACATTTCTAGTTTTATCATTGCACTCATAATAATTACATGTATTACACCCTTTATAGTGTATACTTGATAAACAAGTCTTTCTCACATTTCATACAAAATCAGAAACATGTGTCATATATCCAAGTGTTCATATAATAACTTTTGTATGGTTTTTAATGCAGATTGTATCGTAAGTAAACAAATAAAACTTCAGTAATTTGATGCATGATCAAGATATTTTACCTAACTCTTAAATCAGCTGACCTCCAGAAGATTGCAGAAAAAACTGCCGTCTTGCTAATATTTGAAAATCCCCCCCTCAAAAACATTATATACTAGTAGTTCAAAGAAATCAAAATGACACTTCATTCAAAATGTTCATATTTTAACATTTTGCTCTGAAAACAAACAGTTCACTTTTCCACCAATGAGAAATACCTTCTTATATTATACTACGGAATTCTTTCATCTGTTTTTTTTTATAGCATCACGTGATCGTACAGGACAACATCGGAACGCACGGAATCCAGGATTTTATCAAACATATAGGGATACAAATAACTGTTTGTTTTATATTTGTAGTAATTCACAGCACTAAAAAATTACAATAGATTAATTATTGCATATATATGATGACCAATTTATCGATTTAACCTAAAGCTTGAAATGTGATAGGTCTACTTAATGACGAATATTGATAAACGATCCCGGGCATACCGGACACCGGGATTTTACCGGATCACTGTTGTGACACGTGACCCCACGTTAAATGGATTATCTTCTCCCATTTATATTTGCTACTGCGTTAGTAACATAGTAGATTATGGAAAAGAAAAACCCGATATATTTACGCTTTAGTCAATATAATTTCTTGAATTAAGGTGTCAGTAATGATGGATTTATACAATAAACCTAACTAGATCAGTACAGTGGAGCTTGCTAATCCGAACCCTTCTAATCCGGAATCCTTTCTTATCCGAACGAAGTGTCCGGTCCCGATTTTATTCGTTCTATTTTCAATAGTAAAAAACCTTTCGGATCCGGAACCTATCTACTCCGAATTCTGGACGATTTTTTCAATTTTTGTTCTTATTTTACTCTAAAATTAACCTCTCGGATCCGAACAAATTTTGCCAAATGTCACACCTAGATTCAAAGTGACAAATAATCACACATCTTGCAGGTGTAAACATACACCAAACTGATAAGAGTAATTTCGCTTGATTTTATTGGTGAAACATATGATCTGCGAAGGTGAGAAAATTCGATAAGCTTGCCTTGATATCTACTATAATTGCTTAATTGCAGGCTGTCCAGCACCTTCTGACAAAAAATTAGGGCAAATTTTAGGGCAATTTTTAAAAAAATTTAGGGCTAAAATTAGGAATTTTAGGGTAAATAAAAGAAATTTTAGGGCTAAAATTTGGAAATTTCATAACTAAATTATGGCCTCAAAGACCATGGTATGGGCTCAACTTTGGATATTTGACACAAAAGCAACTCTCAAATAATGCTCTAGTTCGGTTATAGCAAAGGTGTTACCAGTGTTCCATAGTCACCAGTGAAGAAATGGATTCACTGGTTCACTGCCTTTAAAAAGAGCTGAAAAACTACATTAATACATAACTAGAATGAAAACATTTTCAAAGTTATAAGTATCCCGGAACATCCAATATTCAATTAGTTAAGCTATGATTAGCCAATAATAAATGGAAGGGGAAATTATGCTTTAGATTTATTTTAGCTATAAATGCATTAATTATCAACATTTATTCATTTTAAGGTTGGTACATTTTTCAACAAGTCTTGATCTTATTTAAAAAAACAATAAAAACAGTATGACCCACTCAAATCATTCCCAGGAATATTAAAACTTAAATTCAAACAGCAGGGTATACACCTATGAAGAATTTGTTCAAGATAAAAAATCAGGCTACTAAAATTGTAGAAATTTCACAACAGTGTCAGTGTTTTGAATGATTTTCAACAGTTTTTTTCCAGATTTTAAAAAAAACTTGCACTATATGTTATAACATATGTTCAGTACATGTTAATGTGTACAAAACGGACAGCTGAATATCTCACTTCTTAGTACCCTAATTGGGAAGCAACATGGTTAAAGCATCCAATCATTACTGCCAGTTTACCTTACCCACTTTATAATTAGCAATGGAAACTTGTCTAGATCTGCAAGCTGGTATCAATTACCAAAGATCTGTTCTACAGTCATCACTTGAAAATAACTTGATTACAAATTAAGATTTTATTAATAAGGACCCCTACATAAAGTTTGATGAAATTTAGTGGTTCATAATGTAAACAGTTGCTTTAAATACACAGGTCTAAGACTGAGGTAAATGGTAAAACTGAGACTGCAGCCAATAAAAATGTAACTTCCTTGGAAGAATTTTTATCACAATTTTAAACAATTTTCATTGTTCTATTTAAAACAAACAGTTTCTTATTATTTTTCTGATAACATCTGCTAATTAATCAAGTATGGCATTTCTGCAGGAGTTGAAGTAAATACAACATGTGACTTTATGCAATTTAGTCAGACATGACATCAGCTCCACTGACTATGTTCGAATTTAAGTTGTGATTGAAACATGGTTGTTTCGCGATATGTTTATCACAAAAGATGAAAAAAAAATAGGAATTTAAGTAAAAAAAATAGGGCTTTTTTAGGAATTCCCTTTGAATTTTTCATTTTTTTAGGAATTTTAGCCAAACTGAAAACATTAGGATTTTTTAGGAATTTTAGGGACGCTGGACAGCCTGTAATTGATGTTTTTTCGTCACCTTCAATAAATATTTTGATATAATGAAATAGAAATATCTTTAAATCTTTTGTAATGAATTTAATGACACGTGATTAAGAAACGGAAATTAATGGAAACTGTCAGTGAATTTGGATAATCGCTTAATCCGATAAGGACAAACTACAATTGACAAATGCTGGTATGAATATTTAATCATGTCTCTGCCTCCAGTTTAATATCGTAGGTTAACATACCCTTGAGGACATAACATTTTTGCCTGTTTATTTATTTGTATTTCTTTATTTTTGTATTCACATGAACGATAAGAGATTGCAAAAATAAAATATTTATATTGCAATTTCAAATGCATTCCGTTTTCTTTCCTTAAACTATTCTGCCAGTAACATGAACAAACATGTAAAGAAAAAACCCTTCTTATCCGGAAACCTTTCTAATCCGAACTATTTTTCTGGTCCGGACGAGTTCGGATTAGACAGGTTCCACTGTATTTACCATTTACTTGAAATTTTATTTCATTTTTTCATTTTACCAACTGGAGGTCAGTGACTTTAAGCACAAGTTAATTGTAAGGGCAGGGTGGGGCATAGGAAAGAAATTGAGCCAAATGATTTAAATTGCTGACACTGTTCATATATGCCCATTTCCAGCTTTCCTGTTAGATAAAGCCCTCAGGTGCCAGTTTATGCAATATTTCCAGCATACCTTAATAGAACTCTCAATACTCAATAAGATAGCTGGTTACCTCCTTACATGAAAACAAGAGGGCGAAGATGGCCCTAGATCGCTCACCTGACCCTTCAAACTAATCCGAGCATTTAAGTAGTCAAGCATCCTGATCAAGTTTGATAACAATTGAGTCAAAAATGTGACCATTAGAGTGTTAACAAGGTTTTTCCATATTTGGGCGGTATGACCTAGTTTTTGACCCAAGGTGACCCATATTCAGACTTGACCTAGAAATCATCAAAACAAACTTTCAGACCAATTTCCACAATATCTGGATTAGAACAGTAGCCACAAGAGTGTTGACAAGAGTTTTGTATTTTTAGCTCCTGTGACCTAGTTTTTCATTCAAGATAACCCATGTTCAAACTCATCCGAGCCATTACCTAGACAAGGATCCTGACAAAGTTTGATGACCATTGAGTCAAAAATGTGACCACAGAGTGTGGATGGACAAGATGACGGACATTGAGCTAGCTCAGGTGAGCTAAAAATCAATGAATGACTCATTGGCAGGATTCAAGCCCAAGCAGTAAAGGGCTGATGGTTCAAAAACAGTGATCTTAATAACTTGGTCAATGAGCCTTAACATTTTTTTTTTTATATTTTCTTTTACTTTTACAAGTATGAACAGTACATGAATTTGAGAAACATACTTTTAATACAAAGTAATAACTCACATGACATTTGTTAATAAAGAACATTATTCTAACAAAAATAACCCAAAAATATATCAAACAATTACTATGTTACTCTCTGAATTAAAGTATGATGAAATCTATCCAAGAAGTTTCTGAGCAACCGAATTATATACAAAATATTGAACAAGATAATGCTAAATCAGAGTATGCTGTACATCTGAAAGATAGACAACTCTTAAATTACAAACCTTTTCTTCTAACTTGCTGATCTCCCTTGACAATCATTTCGACTTTCTTTTCAAACATAGAAACTGCCGGGGTGACTTGTGTTTGTTGAGGGGGTTCTGCCTGTGGCTGGGGTATTGGAGGGGGTAGGGTTTCCTCCGGTGGAGAGGGTGAAGGCTCTATAACTGGCTCCTCATTGGTTGTTTTTATTCCTATATCAATTTAAGAATTCATGAATAAATGAAAATATGGTAACAATATACATGTGTTATGTAAATAACTGAGTAACATAAAATCATAGAAGCATCAATTCACAAGAACCAAGCGTACAAGATGATAACTGATTTAATCACTTAATGAATTCAGCACAACTTCAATATCACAATCACATAAAACATTTCTTGCATGCTTTATTTTCGCTGTTAGTTTCATGCATTTTAACTCAAATAACCATGCACAAATCAAAAGTTAAAGCATTTTATATTTTCTACATGCATTAATTATATAATCCCTGAAATATTATATGTAGATATAAATGAACATTTATTTTGAACATTATACCATCTCTTTCCAATAATTTAAGTCTAGCTGACGTCTGCCTCAACTTCACACCAGATAACTCTATCATTCCTGTTCTAGGTGCAGCAGTGGTTCTCTCCCCTTCTGACTCCTGGGACTCTGTTATTATACCAGATTAAGCAAACAAATCAATATAAAAGATTTAATAAGACACAGATAACCTGTCTGGGATATAAAAAATGTAGAATCCAGAACAATAGATGTGTCACAGCCATTCTTTTAAAAAGATCCTACATTATTATAAGCATGTGTATAATATTTGTAGATGGCTAACATAAAAGCCATTTCATTATTTAACAAATGTTTAAGGGGGTACAATATGTTCATTTTGACCATCTTGACAATTTACTAAAATGTGAAATCATATGTGTTGAAAAAAAGTTCTACCATTTGACATTTCATGTAAACAAAGCAGGGGGTGAAATCTCAGCATTATATAAAGTAACAAATGTTAACTTGAAATATTTTGAAATATAAAGGTTACTACAGTAATATTTTGATGGATATATATCTCTGACAGTCAGAGATACTTTCAAAAACCCTCCGAACATGATTATAACCAAATCCAAAATAATATTACAGACATGTCTGTTAATTAAAACATTATTATTATTATGAAATAATTTGTGCCCAGTTTAGATTTATATCTTTAAATCAAATTAATTGTACAAAATATGGGAAAAAAAATCAACAAATCACAGCATTTACCTATACTTCTTGTATTAAATTATAGCTTACTTTTATTTATTTATTTATTTGTGCACATATGTTTTGAAAGCTCTAAAATGTTTGATATCTCAACTGAAATTAAAAAAAATCAAGTTTTGGACATGCAGTGAAATCATAGTCTTGAACACCTGGATATAATGGTGAGAGGAACGGCCTAACAATTTAAGCAATTTAGCCTAGATGACAAGGTGTCATTTAAGAAAGTGATTTGTTTAACATTAGAAAGTTATGTCCCTTAGATGAATTCTTTACATTTTATTTACTTTTTATTCAAATCTTATGTCTGCAACTTTTCATCTCTGGGCAGTGATAAAATATAAATCTAATTTTGGATGAGTAAAGATTTTTTTACATGTAAGACATTTTCTCCATTTCATCTTCTTAGTCAACCAGATTCCCCACCCCCACTACCCCCCTTAGTCACACACATTCTTCTTAAAATCCAGATGTTACAAAACAATATAAACATATAACTTCAACCTTGCAGCAGCAAAACTTTCACATGTGCATCAAATAAATATTCCAAGCTCTAACAGATATATATATACAGAGGTATTATATCATAAGCTGTACATTCTAGCACATTATATGTTAAATTAATCACATTTTTTTATACTGCTTATACCTTTACTCTCAAACAACTATTTGATGTGTTTAAAGCTTAATAAATGCCCACAAATTATACCATTTTCCATGGTTTACAAGAACTATTATTATAACATATATTGTGAATATTATCATTGAAATTTTTGTTATTGTTTAGTTTTTAAACTCAGCAGTCAAATTACACCTATCAGTCTTTCCTTGACATCTAACTAGTAATGTACAATTTCTCATCAACTGACCAAATACTTATCCCACAATATTTTCTGAATCATTGGAGGGAGACAAATGACCATTATACATAATGTCACAGAGTAATTCTGCAACATCTGAGCCCCTGGATTACAAATCAAACATAAAGTCACATTTATATTAGTAAAAATAACACATTAGAATGATAATTTGGTAAAACAAAGAGCCATAATTCCTGTTACTGATATTTGTATTTTATAACTGCGAGTTTATAATTGACAAAATTATATATTTATAATTAACAGAATTATTAAATTTGCAAAAAATGGACACAACTATATGTTTATGAATGATTGTACTTGACACAATGTATGTGTTTATAGCTGACTTAACTTCATCGTATGTATTAAAATTGTCAAAGCTTTTTATTATATATAATAAATAACACTAGAATTAAAGTATTTGAGGCTAATCAGTATTTATACTCAAGAGTATTTTAAGTTGTAATATTCCCCACCATCAGTAACAAGTTCATTAAATCTTTCATCTATTAAATATGTGGTTAATATAAGAACATATTTTTCATACCACAAACATCAACATGCACGTATATCAGTATTTTAAGTGGTACATTACAACCAAAAGCAATGGATGCATGCAATTTAAGCTACTCAATTTTACTTCAACATACTTGTTAATCCTTCATTAAAAATTGGTTTCCGTACTAGGATATATTTATTTCCTTAACCGACAACTATTTTAAGATATTTAATGACTTTTCAAGTTCACATCTTAATGAAGATTAAGTCTAAAAACAAATCACTGCTATTATAAAACAAATAAAGTATGACATGATAATAGGAACAGATTAAAACAAGAGGAGACTAATATTATCTGTCATATGTTGCTGTTCAGATCGGGATATCCGTCCCGAGGGGACCCCGCCCATGGGTGGGTTCCCGAGGGTTGAATATTTCGATCCGAACCGCAAACATATGTCAGATATTTTTTCTTGCATATTCTGCCATATTATTTCATATTTAAAATGGTTTATCTCAATAAGATTTTTTTCATGGAAATTAATGTCATTTCGTCAGAAACTATTTTCTTACAATAGTGTATGGATTTACAAATTTAATAACAACAGCGAAATGACGTCATCATAGACACATACTTCCCTTCTAACATGACGTCATTTTAACGTGGTTCATTCATAAAATGCCCTAAAATGACATTGTTGTATGGCACGCGACTCATCTGGCACCCTCCCATGCCAGATGAAATTTCTGGCATGGGTAAAACTCATGGAAATGCCAGTCTGCTATGCAAGAAAACCTGCTCCACTGATTAAATAATGTTAATAAAGTAAGACAGAATATATCAAAAGAAATGTTTACACAATAATGGTTATTTGAAATGTGGAAAGACAAAAATTTGAAATATGAAGTAAATCCCTTCAGTAATATATAGATGGAAAGAGTAAAAAGTATACAACATTTTTATAGCAAATTCTAAGTCCAAAGAGGCAATAACTCTTGAAATGAAGATGGTAGAGTTATAAACCTTATAACTTATTGGTGATAATAAGAAACATTTATTTAATTTTACCCATGAAATATGGTGCTATATCAGTCAAATATATTTCATATTTTTTAGAAATAAATATGAAATATAAATATGAAAGTGGGCGGAGTCAAAACTCATATTTATTTTAAGGGACTTCTTTCGCCGTTTTGTTTGAAAAATCTGATAAATACAAAACAACTTTTTCTTGAATATTGTTTTGAAAACTATCTAGCATGAAAGAAAATGGTCTAACTAAGAAAATTAATCCGAACACCAATATCTTTAATTCAGTAATTAACGCTGTACAGACGTTTAAAGAGTTGTTTACATGACGTCACAATGTAGCGCCAAACAGCGCGTGCTTACGCATAAATTACTGCGCGCTGTACAATTGCTGTTGGTAGCAAGCAAGTGGATTCGTTACCATTTTCTTTGATAATGAAATTAAATAAAAAGGTTATTTTTTCGTTTTTCGTGAAATATGGTATATATTTTCACTCAACATGATAAAATGCCACATATTTTCACTCGCCGTACCGGCTCGTGAAAATATGTGGCATTTTATCATGTTTCGTGAAAATATATTCCATATTTCACGAAACGAAAAAATATCCTCTTATTATTTAAAGTTTGAAATAACTCTACTCATGAGAGTAAAATTTATGTACAATTTAAGGAAAAATTCTAAGTTAACAGGAGAGACAGTTACAATGAACCATGTCACATGATGAGGGTAATGATTTGTAATAGATCCCTAAGATGTGAAGTTTTAGTTAAATCTATAAACAGCTCAAAACTTTAACTGCAGTCGCCTGGGTGAGCAAGACTAGATCTATCTGGTAAGTACATGTACATTTCTATTTTTGTGGATTATTGTGACATTTTTAATACATATAACATGTTCAGCACATTAGAAAATATAGAAAATGTTTACTTCATTTTAAGCATTATTAAATATCTACAAAAAGTAAATTATATTATATTTTTTTTTTATTTATGCTATATATTGATTGTTGGCATGTAATAAATAGCTTAAGTTATTTGGTAGCCCATTATAACAAAGAAGTTTTCATTAATTTTTTTACTTTTCTTTCATGTGCTAAGTTATCAAGGAAAAGACTGATATACAGTTAATGATATAAGTTTATATTTCACAGATGAAAAATTTAGATACTACATTTATAAATTTATAAACTTATACCTGTTCTCTTTAACTGTACTTTGTTGATTTGTTGTATAAGAACAGCATGATCAGGAGAAGACTCTTTTGGAACTCTAGGTGGCGCCACTGATTGTATATTGTGCCCTCTGATTGGGTCTGCAGTTAGATATCCTAAATTGTCAGTTCTTGGTCCATCTTGTGAGCCTTGACGAAAATCACCTTTCTTTCTTGGAATTGATGACAATGGTGGCGGAGGTGGTGCGGCAGCAGGTGCCACAGCTTGATGTTGTGGAGATATAGATGATACAGTATTTGGAAGACTTTGAATGAGATTTGTTTGAGGCACATTTCTGATCATCTGTTGTTGTGGAGGAGGGGAGGGTGGTGGAAGATCTGTCAGCAACTCTGGTGGTGGGGGAGGCAAAGGTGGAGAAGGTGTTCTTACCACATGTTGGCTTGCAGACATATAATTTTCTCTAACTGCTAGAGGTGGTGGGGGTGCGGGCATTAGTTCATCATCTGGATTACAAGGAACTGATTTACTTCGCTGTGACAATTTTTGTGCAAAGCGTGGTGAACCAGGCAAATTTGATTCATGAACACTACTTTGGATAGAAGAATGTCTTTGAAATTTTGGGCTTTGTGGATACTGTGGCTGTGGGGCTGTTACCCTATGACCTGGGTGACCAGGTGGTACAGGTGGTGGAGGTCCACTTGGGGGTGGAGGCCCATACTGTGCGGGTCTGGGAGACTGTGGATGAAATGCTGACTCATTCTTCCCATAATGCATCACCTGACTACTTCCTGTTTGATCACTATACTGATAGTTTGTAAGATTTGGCACATTTTGTTGGTTGTGTCCATTTTGTGTACTTGGAATATTTTGATTCACACTACTGTCTGTAACATGATGTAACTTTGGTGACAGAACTGCAGCACCATAAGAAAATGGCCGGTTTCCAGCCATACTTGGACTCTGTGGTTCATGTCCAGCTTTTGACATTAGCACAGGGGAACCATGAGTTGTGTGTCTAGGTGACTGGTTCCCACTGTTATGTTGTTGCTGGAAATATCCAGTCTGTTGTGAAGGGGAACCATGAGGCATATGAACAGGTGACTGGTTCACATAACTTGGCTGTTGATTGTAGTATCCATGATGAGCTGGGGAACCATGAGCTGAATGTATAGGTGATTGGTTCCCGTGCCAATGTTGCTGATGAGCTTCTGTCACATGAATTTCTGCATAAGTGCCAACCTGAAAATTTGAAATTTTTAATTCAAAACAGGTTTTTTTAAATGTAAAATTATATATATAACAATTGTATTAAGTAATCATAAAACTTAAAAATATTAACTTCACATTATCAACAATTATTATTTTATCTTAATTGTCAGATACATTAATGTAAATAAAAACATGTACTCATTGGCCATCTTATGATAATAATAATTAACTGTAGACATTTATCTATTAAACAATTATTACAGTGGGGGAAATAAATACAGTTAACATGTTTGTGATTAGTAAGACATTTGTATAACAAGATTAAAAGACAGTGTTAAAGTTAGTAATTGTTATTTCAGAAAATTAAAAAATGACTAAGTGATTACTATAATCATGACCATCAATCGAATAGTTCACAGAAATTATCAAGCTTTCATATAAGACAACATTACAACATGGCTGCACTTACAGAGGCAGTACTGAGTCGGGTACCAGGATCACGTTTTGGAGGAGGAGGAGCCTGTTTCCTGTAGTCATGATGTAAATTCTGAAATAATCAAATATTGTTTGTTCGAACTATTTTACAATATCTGCTAAATAAATAACTGCTCAAGCATTTATCATGCAAATATTTTGTTCAAATCACACAATATTGTACCTGAATGACTTAACACAAGATCTATGATACTGTGTTACTTATAATGTTACTTTGATATGTAAAGGAAATAAGTAATACTAGCATAACATGCCTGCCATTATTGTGCATCAAGTGGGCTGAGCTTGACCTATACTCAAGGATAAAGTCTCGCATTTTATTTTAAAGCTTGACCAATACTCAATGATAAAGTTTGCCATTATTGTCAATCAAGTAGGCTAAGCTTGAGCAAAACTTGAGGATAAAGTTTACCATTATTGTCAATCAAGTGGCATAGTCGCTTGACCTATACTCAAGGATAAAATATGCCATTATTGTCAATCAAGTAGGCTAAGCTTGACCTATACTCAAGGATGAAGTTTGCCATTATTGTCAATCAAGTAGGCTAAGCTTGACCTATACTCAAGAATAAAATTTACCATTATTGTCAATTGAGTAGGCTAAGCTTGACCTATACTCAAGGATGAAGTTTGCCATTATTGTCAATTGAGTAGGCTAAGCTTGACCTATACTCAAGAATAAAATTTACCATTATTGTCAATCAAGTAGGCTAAGCTTGACCTATACTCAAGAATAAAATTTACCATTATTGTTAATCAAGAAGGATTAGCTTGACCTATACTCAAGGATGAAGTTTGCCATTATTATCAATTGAGTAGGCTAAGCTTGACCTATACTCAAGAATAAAATTTACCATTATTGTCAATCAAGTATATACTCAAGAATAAAATTTACCATTATTGTCAATCAAGTAGGCTAAGCTTGACCTATACTCAAGAATAAAATTTACCATTATTGTCAATCAAGTAGGCTAAGCTTGACCTATACTCAAGAATAAAATTTACCATTATTGTCAATCAAGTAGACTTAGCTTGACCTAACTCAAGAATAAAATTTACCATTATTGTCAATCAAGTATATACTCAAGAATAAAATTTACCATTATTGTCAATCAAGTAGGCTAAGCTTGACCTATACTCAAGAATAAAATATACCATTATTGTCAATCAAGTAGGCTAAGCTTGACCTATACTCAAGAATAAAATTTACCATTATTGTCAATCAAGCAGGCTATGCTTGACCTATACTCAAGGATGAAGTTTGCTGTTATTGTCAATCAAGTAGGCTAAGCTTGACCTATACTCAAGGATGAAGTTTGCTGTTATTGTCAATCAAGTAGGCTAAGCTTGACCTATACTCAAGGATGAAGTTTGCTGTTATTGTCAATCAAGTAGGCTAAGCTTGACCTATATACTCAAGAATAAAATTTACCATTATTGTCAATCAAGCAGGCTAAGCTTGACCTATACTCAAGGATGAAGTTGCTGTTATTGTCAATCAAGTAGGCTAAGCTTGACCTATACTCAAGGATGAAGTTTGCTGTTATTGTCAATCAAGTAGGCTAAGCTTGACCTATACTCAAGGATGCAGTTTGCTGTTATTGTCAATCAAGTAGGCTAAGCTTGACATATACTCAAGAATAAAATTTACCATTATTGTCAATCAAGTAGGCTAAGCTTGACCTATACTCAAGGATGAAGTTTGCTGTTATTGTCAATCAAGTAGGCTAAGCTTGACCTATACTCAAGGATGAAGTTTGCTGTTATTGTCAATCAAGTAGGCTAAGCTTGACCTATACTCAAGGATGAAGTTTGCTGTTATTGTCAATCAAGCAGGCTAAGCTTGACCTATACTCAAGGATGAAGTTTGCTGTTATTGTCAATCAAGTAGGCTTAGCTTGATCTATGTTTACCATTATTGTCAATCAAGCAGGTTGAGCCTGACCTATACTCAAGAATAAAGTTTGCCATTATTATCTATCAAGTAAGGAGAAATGAGTGGGCTTTGTCTTATGAGCAGAATAAGCTGGCTGTCAAGTAAGGAAATTGTACTGGCTTTATATTCTTTGTATAACCTTGCTATTATTGCCAAACAGGCAGGTTAAGCTGACCCTGTGCTAAAGGAATATGACTGACATTTATAAGTAAACAAACTGAGGTGGCTCTACACTGACATTATTGTCAATTGAACAGACTGAGCTGGCTCTACACTGACATTATTGTCAATGGAACAGACTGAGCTGGCTCTACACTGACATTATTGTCAATAGAACAGACTGAGCTGGCTCTACACTGACATTATTGTCAATGGAACAGACTGAGCTGGCTCTACACTGACATTATTGTCAATTGAACATACTGAGCTGGCCCTACACTGACATTATTGTCAATGGAACAAACTGAGCTGGCTCTACACTGACATTATTGTCAATGGAAACAGACTGAGCTGGCTCAACACTGACATTATTGTCAATTGAACAGACTGAGCTGGCTCTACACTGACATTATTGTCAATTGAACAGACTGAGCTGGCCCTACACTGACATTATTGTCAATTGAACAGACTGAGCTGGCCCTACACTGACATTATTGTCAATGGAACAGACTGAGCTGGCTCTACACTGACATTATTGTCAATTGAACAGACTGAGCTGGCTCTACACTGACATTATTGTCAATGGAACAGACTGAGCTGGCTCTACACTGACATTATTGTCAATTTAACAGACTGAGCTGGCTCTACACTGACATTATTGTCAATTGAACAGACTGAGCTGGCCCTACACTGACATTATTGTCAATTGAACAGACTGAGCTGGCTCTACACTGACATTATTGTCAATGGAACAGACTGAGCTGGCTCTACACTGACATTATTGTCAATTGAACAGACTGAGCTGGCTCTACACTGACATTATTGTCAATGGAACAGACTGAGCTGGCTCTACACTGACAATATTGTCAATTGAACAAACTGAGCTGGCTCTATATTTGGGGTATTAGCTTGTTGTTGATGTCTTACATTCCTGATATAATCTTGTTATTTTGCCTTACCAGGCAATAGTGGCTCAAAGTTTGCACACATCTTCTGGCAAACCAAGCCATAAACCTGTGTGATAAGTTTGCCTTTGTTGTAACTATAAACAGCTAGGTTAGGGGTTCAGTTCTCATCACTTGCTTAGAGATGTTACTCATGGTGAATTTATTGTTAAATCATTGTATATATTTCTCCTGAAGTAATAGAAAACCTACATTCATGTCTATGAATATCTGCTAGTAATTGATGTTTCAGACATGTTATAAAACGTCTGTGCTGTGATGAAAATTTCATTTTCTGTCAGCATTTTTTTCACATTTCACACCAAATTGTATCTACTCAAGACATATTTCTTGTTTAAAAAAACAATCTTTTCTTCAAAATTTGAAATTTAAATACAGTATTGTACATGTATATAAAAAGAAAAGACATATTTATGAATGCTTTCTAATGAGAGTGACCATGACCTTAACTATACAGAACCAAGAACAAACCAAAGTGAGGTCTCCATGTGGATGTTTCATCATCTTAAGATGTTATATGTCTCTCAACAACAAGCATATATTGAGGGGATGAGAGAGACTAGCCTACAGACCAATCTATATACTCACCCCAACATTGTGAGGGAAGAGAGAATGTTTGTTATATAATTACAAGACTGAAACACTGTTACATATAGAAATGTCACAGATTACTGTTACATGATGATTAAAGCTTATCATACATTGTATAATATAAACATCACGAAGCATAACATGTATGATTGAATCACTCAAAATGTTTATTATCACTTTACATGTCTAAACTAAAATCATCATCACAAAATAAGGCAAGTCTATTTACATCACCAGTATAGAACAAGGCTAGTTTGTTTACATCACTTATATAGAATATATTAGGCCAGCTTGCTTACATCACCAGTATAGATCAAGACCAGTCTATTTATACATCATTAGTATAAAACAAGGCCAGTCTGCTTACATCACCAGTATAGAACAAGGCCAGTCTATTTACATCATTAGTATAAAACAAGGCCAGTCTGTTTACATCACCAGTATAGAACAAGACCAGCCTGTTTACATCACCATTATAGATCAAGGCCAGCCTGTTTACATCACCAGTATGGATCAAGGCCAGCCTGTTTACATTACCAGTATAGAACAAGACCAGGCTGTTTACATCACCAGTATGGATCAAGGCCAGCCTGTTTACATTACCAGTATAGAACAAGACCAGCCAGTTGACATCACCAGTATTAAACATGGCCAGCCTGTTTACATCACCAGCATAGATTTAGGCCAGCCTGTTTACATCACCATTATAGAACAAGACTAGCATGTTTACATCACCAGTATTAAACAAGGCCAGCCTGTTTACATCACAAGTAAAGAACAAGACTGGCCTGTTTACATTACCAGTATAGATCAAGGCCAGCCTGTTTACATTACCAGTATAGAACAAGACCAGGCTGTTTACATTACCAGTATAGAAACAAGGCCAGCCTGTTTACATTACCAGTATAGAACAGGGCCAGCATGTTTACATTACCAGTATAGAACAAGGTCAGTCTGTTTACATTACCAGCATAGAACAAGACCAGCCTGTTTACATTACCAGTATAGAAACAAGGCCAGCCTGTTTACATTACCAGTATAGAACAAGGCCAGCATGTTTACATTACCAGTATAGAACAAGGTCAGTCTGTTTACATTACCAGTATAGATCAAGGCCAGCCTGTTTACATTACCAGCATAGAACAAGGCCAGTCTGTTTACTTCACCTTTGTTTTTAGTTCAATTTCAACATATTGATGTTGAATTCATTCGAACTAACAGTGGTCATTTCAACTTCAAAGCAAGATAAGTAAATTAGTAGATTAGCACTGTTATTAGAGTAAGAGGTAAACTTGTTAATAGTACAATGATTGTGATATATCTACCTGTTCCTCTATGGTAGCATACATTCCCTGTGAATACATTTCTTTAGGTGTGGGTGGTGGCCGTGACTGGTCATAATGAGTGCCATGTGGGGTAGGCGGTAATCCTCTTTGTAAATGTCCATTCATATTGTCTTCTTCACCAAGAAAGTCTCCTAAATAAAACAACAACAGATGAATTCTCTGATTATAAATTTTACTTAACAGAACATTTAATTTATGGTGACAGTTAAACTTAAAGGCAGATCTTCTATCAGACCGAACAGGACCTAACCTGAAAAAAAAATAACTAGAGCTGTTGTCACAAAGTGAAAGTACGTTTGTAAATCTTGCATTATATTTTCACGCCGAACCTCATTTTTACTCTATATTCATTGTTGTGAGATTGCATCATCTTTTGTTAAATTTAGAGTTTTCGGGTGAAATTATTATTTAGAGTATTTTTATGGTTTGCATAAATTTCCATGTCTCAATTTAAACATTTTGCCGTTTATTTCACAAAAATCCTTTCAGTAATAAGAAAGTTACATTTTTGTTTTATGAACCAGATATATGTATTATGTCTGTATTTGAAGGACGGGCCTTTATTTTACATAACTATTTTTCCCGCCGTCCCAGCTTTATTTCATGCAAATCGATTTTTCATGTTTAGCACGATCTGTTTTCCAGCTCAGTACTCAGTAGTTTGCTATATAATGACTAAATTTTAAGTGATATATTGCAATGCACTGGACGTTATACAGGTCACTATGACAGTGACAGACAAATTATATTTGTCATAAAATAACAGCTTGTACAAGGTAAATTTAATTTATTTTCTAGTGATTTTGTTTCATAAATTTTTGCTATTTCATAAAATACTATTTTCTATTAGAATTATAGTTTATTTGATTCAGGTTTAGTTATTTGGCAGTAATTTATTGTTTTCTAAATTTTTGCAGATTAAATTTTAAAAGCTCTTTTTATTCTAGTGTTTCGCTATTGCAAATTTATACCGAGACATGTTAATTGAAGTTTTAATTATATTGTAATTGTATAGGAGCCAGGAATATTTTATAGATATATATATCTAGTCATAAATAATTTATTATGGTTCTACCGTATTTGTGTAACTTTATGTAAAATGCTGCAGTATCGTAATGATTGTTTCAATCAATTTAATTTACGTTATCATCTTACTTCATTTCATTTATCATCAGTTTTTGTTATAAGTAAATACAACGTATCAAAACTAACGTATCTCTAGAAGGATCTTCGGTGGCATGATTTCGGAAGACGTTTATTTATTGGTGGTTATTATGTGGCGTATATTTGAATATATTTGCAACGCAGTATTATGCGGATGTGATTGAATTTTTGTTCCACGGAATGTATGGTGTACTATAGTGGACATTTTGTTTATTCAAAGAAGCACGTTATTTTATTGGAAACCGACAAAGGTCGAGTCTTTTCCAAGGGACTTTATTATACCCTTATGTTTGATTATCATGGAACTTTTCATGTTTTATACTTTGTAGCTTCTTATTTGAGGACACACCCGAAGATGACACGGGCCCTCCACACGTATGTCCATGGCTAAAGGGTGACGCATGCCCTTGTTCAGGATCCTATCAACTGTGCCAACACTGTAGGAAGTACAGTTACGCTTGATAAGATTTTATACAAGACGCCCGCCATTGTGACGAATTTTGTTCAACAACGCCACCACTTTATTGAAACATCATGACAGAAACTTTACGGGAGAAATAGACTGAGATACGTTGATAGTGTTTGTTTGCACAGTGACTTTTCATATATAATCATTTTTTCATTTATAAATATTCATTTATTGTAAATAAATTTGTATATATTTTCTGTTCTGAGTTGTTGGTTGTTTTAGATAGCAATTGTGGTCGGCCTGGTATCCCATCGTAGTCCCTATTGTGACAGCTGTTGGGCGGACAGCATGCTCAACTATTCTCAATGCTTGACAGTAAAACAACAGCTTGGATAATGTAGAATTTTCTAAGTTCAAAAAGGAACATAATTCTGTCAGAAATCCATGTTATAGTTATGGGCCTAAAAATGGTCAGTGATGTCCTATTTTGCTCTCAAATAAATTATGAAGTTTTAACCTATTGCCTTCAATGCTTTCGGAAAAGCCAGCTTGTATGCAAAAACTTAACCAAAGTGTGACGTCCACACCTAGGTGAGTACAATAGCTTTCCCTATTCTTTGAATAGTTGGGCTATTTATGGCATATTTAAACAAAACATTCCCTATAAGATGTGTATCAATGCTTTTTTAATGTTTAACATTTACAAAATTTTACTTTGGATCTTTAAAAAGGCTGTTAGCAGGACAGCCTGTTGGACCTTTCTTAAGCAATGCTTGAAATCAGGAATTCACAAAGAACATTTCATTTAAATTACATAGTTATGTCTCTTTGGAATTGACCTACAGTTATCATCCTAAAGCTATGAGTACAGACAGCACTTAAACACATCTAGAAAATCACTTTAACACTTTTTGTTTTATGAGAAAACAAACTATATTTACATGTATAAGTACTTAAACGAGAATATTTGTTTTCAATAATATTGATGTTAGACAAGACTCTGAGACAAGCTGCTCTATATCTGTCTAGTTCCTGGTAATTTATAGCCTGGGACATTATATTTAAGCTATATCAACAGAAATGAACTTGTTGCTAATTTAAGAGAGTTTTTATATTAAGTCACATTAACACAATAAACAAAGCCATATATAGGTCATTATAACAGAGAAGAAGAAAGAACTAAAGAGTCTGTATAAACGTTAATATATTGAGTATAGTAAAGAAATTTCAGTAAATTAATAAACATTTAGCAAGATAAATGGATATCTATTCTCTCAAACAGTGGGATTTTAACCATGTATTATGACATGGTATGTGATAACAATTAGCTAACACTGAAGCTTATTTTACACATGCAAGGATGGATGCCAGGCAAAGCCCTTCACAAATATCTGCATTAATCCTTCTTACAGAACTAGGACATAGTCTTGATAGGACCACTAGAATGTCCATTATTTTCATCATTAATAGATGCTTAAATAATACATTTTCATGTCAAATTAAGATAAAAAAAAAAAACCAAGAAATATCGGCACACTTCATATTTGAATAATTGAATCACATCTCATTTCTATGGTTGGGGATTTTAAGCAGGATGTGGACCTTTGTAACATACGCTTAAATCTAACATAAATATTATGTTGTATGATTTATTATTTCTAAGTAATATTATTTATTATTTATCTAATAAATCTAACCAATTGATAATCTGCATTTGTACTTCGTGACCGTCCAATATATTCCCGTATTGGATCCCAAAAAAAATATTATTTTCAAATTGGATGGTTGCAGGGTAAGTGCACTAACAATGCTGGTCTGGTTCCCGATTTCAATCTCTAACAAATTAAAGACCAGGAATCATGCTTGCATAAAGATGTTATTATTTGTATATACAACTGCTGGTAAAGGGTCTTGCTTTTGAAAGATATATAATATAAGAAGTTATTATACATTTTACTGTACAATACAGAATATATTTGGACTCTTACATGTACATAGGTTGAAAAGTCATATTGGACTTGCATATCGGCTCGTCCAATAAGACTTTTCAAGCTGTGTACTCGTTCAAATATATTCCTGTATTGTATAGTAAAATGTAAAATAATCTATAAGTACTGTCAAACATTAGTGACTTATAAATTTTTTTTCTACATAACAAGTCTAAGTGCACAAATTCAAGAAAAAACCTTATTGTTAAGAACATTCCAGAACTAAAGCACAGTGAATTCATTAGTTTGAAGAAAAATATGACTTTACAGACAGAAAAATAGAACAATATACTTAACAATTTCTAAAACATTATTTGTTATAAACATAAATACATGACATACCTCTGTTGTGAAATTGTAAATATCTGAAAATATTATTTTCCTTGTAGGAAAATTCCTTTTTAAAAGTTTTATAATTATTCTCTATTTAAATCCTGGCATACACTGTACATTAATTAAGGAAACTTTACAATTACATTTAAAAAAGTTAGGGAATAATTTTAAGATCTGCATATTACAATGTTTTGTAGTTAATTCTGAGTCACATATGTTATGACAATTTCTCCAGTCAGGAAGCAAACACTTCATGTTAACCATCTGCATGTGAATGTTTATGTTCCGGCTCTATATAACATTTTATAATATTTATGTTTTTTATTCAAATTGTCTCAATGATTGTTATGTTTTCTCAGCTAAATGAAAATTATTCATCATTGTTCTATCATGTATCATGGAAATCTTGTTCCTGTAACATTAATTATACAAGTACATCGTCACCTTGGAGCAAAAAGTCATGTAACTGACATTTTTTGAGAAAATCACTTTTTGTCATTATTTGGTTAGAAATACAAAGTTTCACCAGTCTCCGAAGTTTAGAAACTATATTTTGATAAAAAATGACTTTTTTGGCATAAAAATAAAAAACGTAAGTGCAGCTTCAGAATTTGTTGGTGCAAAAACTACAGTAAGTACACTTACATGAGTTTTTGCGCCAATGTTTTTACAGATAAGTTGAAATTATTTGATGCAAAAAGTATTGTAACTGCATTAAAATATTCCACTATTGCATTATTAAATAGCAAAATTATTTCTAAAATACAAATTTTATATATAAATCTACTTTAGGAAACTAACATTTAAAGAAAATGTTTTATTTTAATTTGACGACAAACAATATAGCTAGGAATTTTTCAGTATTCAAATTTTGATTTTTTTTTTAAATGATTCAAGTAATATTAGAGCTGTCATTGATTTGTTGGAAAGCAAATTTAAGATGAAAAAATATTGATGATACACAGATATATTGATAATTACATACTTTAAGTATTATCTACTTGTATCTAATTCTTTTCCATAATTGTTTAAATGCTTTCAGAAAAAACATGGTCTTTTCATAAATTTTTTTTGTCATCACTGCTATAAAATATGCTTATGCATATGTTTTGTTGAATTTTCATAATTTCTAGACATTCAATTATTAAATCAAAAATCTTGATTTTCTAAAATGTGTACTGATCAACAGAAAAATATCAACAATACATCAATATCATTTCTATCTATTCTATCAATT